CGGACGCTTAACCGACTGCGCCACCCAGGCGCCCCTCATATTTACTTTTTAAAATGATGAATTTATGAACCCTATGTTTGAACAGAATCTTCCACTTTTTCTTAAATCTAACTATCTAATTAAAGCAGCAGTCCCTTCTTAATGTACATTTGATTGAAATTAGTGTTGGGGGTGTAGTGGTCTGACATTGTTTCTGATTACATGTTGCATGTAATGGCTAAATTCTCAGACTTGCTATGTTGATATTTATGAAGACCTCCATATATTATTATAATGTAAGCTTTTTATTCTATTGAATTTTTATTTTTATTTGATATTTATTTTGTATTTGATATGTCTCATCTGTATCTCTTGGAATTATTGCAAGTGATCTGGGGTAGTATCAGCTATGATTATCTAATTTTCTATCACCTTCTGTTAAAAGAACATTCCCGGGGTGCCTGGGTGGCTCAGTTGGTTAAGCATCTGACTTCGGCTCAGGTCATGATCTCACGGTTCATGGGTTCCAGCCCATGTTGGGCTCTGTGCTGACAGTTCAGAGCCTGGATCCTGCTTTAGATTCTGTGTCTCCAGCTCTCTCTGCCTCCCCACCCCCTCAAAAATAAATAAGTAAACATTTAAAATATTTAAAAGAACAACCTTCCCATCATTGTTGACTTGGTCTATATGTTAACTGCCATAGGGATTATAACCTTGCACTTTGTTGTTTTGTGTCATTCATTCTTTTTGATTCATGTGAGGCACTCTCTAGCTATTGTTCATTGTCTAGTAAAATGTTCATTCTGGAGAAGTGAGGAAAAATATATTCTCGATTAAAAGAACAATGAATTGGGTGCCTGGGTGGCTCAGTCGGTTAAGCGACTGACTCTTCATCTTGGCTCAGGTCATGATCTCATGGTTCATGAGATCGAGCCCCGTGTCAGACTTTGCACTGACAGTGTGGGGCTTGGGATTCTCTCTCTTCCTCACTCTCTGCCCCTCCCCTGCTCCCTCTCTTTCTCTCAAAACAAATAAATTAATTTTTTTAAAAAGGAACAATCAATTATTTTCCAAAATGGTAATATATCACACTGAAAAGTAAATGCCTCTTTCCTTTTCAGAGGCGAGCTGCTGATAATTTGAGAAGACATCACCAGTATCAAGTAAGTTATTCTATTCTATCTTGAAATTTGCATTAAAATGAAGTACTGTCCCATCTTTAGAATGGACTCAAGAGAGAATTCCTATTTATGCACTGAATGTCAGTTCTGTTGTTTCGACATGCCTCAGGAGGTTATGCGGAACCTGGTGAAGAGGTATGTTGCCGCAATGATCAGAGATGCCAAAACTGAAGAAGGTCTGACTGAAGAGAACTTTAAGGTAACCATTTGCATCCTCATCACCAGGGGGCAGGTTCTGCAGAGCAGGGAACCAGATGCAGCACATTTACTATCAGAACTGGCAACTTGGCCATGAGTTTCAGCAAGCCTGTGTGCCTTCTTCTCTTAAATTCAAGGCTTCTTTTTTTTTTAAGCAGTGAAATCTCCTTTCAAAATACATTATTCTAAAGCACATTAAATCTGGGGCACCTAGATGGCTCAGTTGTTTAAGCAGCTGACTTCAGCTCAGGTCATGATCTTGCGGTCTATAGGTTCGAGCCCTGCCCTTGGGCTCTGTGCTGACAGCTCGGAGCCTGGAGCCTGCTTCAGATTCTGTGTCTCCCTCACTCTCTGCCCCTCCCCTGCTCGCACTATGTGTCTCCCTCTCTCAAAACTAAATAAGCATTAAAAAAAATTTAAAGCACATTAAATCTGAAATGTGGAGGGGACTTGGAGACAGAGAAAATCCTAGTGCCTTGTGGCATTTTAACTTGCTGATCCTAGCAACATTCGAATGAGTGAGCTTTAGTTTTTGAAATTCCAGTCTGATTTCTAAGCCTGAAACATGTAGTAACCAACATGTTAAAAACAACAACAAAAACCTTCTCTGTCCTATGCACAGCTTTGGTAGCAGGAAATTGAAGGTTTGTGCTTAATTGTAACTTACAAACTTCGTCTTTCTCCCTGAGGTTTTTTGTGTTTTTTATTCCATCAGAGGAGATAGGTGGAATACATGAAATATATATGTATATGTGGGCATGCTCAAGTCACATGTATAAAATGTTTTTGTTATTCTGCCTGAGTTCTTAGAGGTTTTGAAAGAATGAGTGAAGTCAATAGGGTCTTATAGGCAAAAACAAACAAATAAAAAAACCCTGAAGAAGATCCTTTAACTGAGAATGTCAGGTTTGACAAGAGAATAAAGATGAACAGCTGGCTAGGTAAGAAGACAGATGAATTGCAAAACGCAAAGCACAGATTGAAAGGATCCCAAATGTTCTTCACAGTCACAACATCCACACTTTGTAGTTAAATGATTCCTGGTGCTTTAGGAGATAGGTTGGAGGCACGAAGCCACCAGGAAGGCCACCATCAGGTTAGGACTGAGAACTCAGTTATCCAAAAAGAGTAGGACTGAGAATTCAGTGTCCAAAAAGATAAGAGTAGAGGATGTATCTGAGAAATGCTGTCTGATCTGAAGCAATTCTCAAGATTTAGTAGCTGCCCCAGGTGCTGAGGTAAATGCAACCCCAAGGTAGTAAACAATTGAAGGTAACTGCCAACTCTTGGAACACTAGACACCACTTTAATTATTTTGTTTTAGATATCCCTTTGGACAGAAAGATATGCTAACATGAGAACCCTTTTAAAAATGCATCCCTGAGAGAATGAGAGGTGACCTGAAGGCAGGTGAATATTTTAGAAAGGAAGCATTTGAAACTATAGTCCCACAAATCCAATATACTCTTGTTTCCTTTTGCATCAACCCCAGGAGGTCTCCTTGTTACTACATAACTGCCAACAGGGAAATTAGCAGGCATCAAAATGACTCTAGTGCCAGGGACAGAACAGGCAGTTCTCAACAGAACCACAGCAAAAATGGAATCCTGGCTCTTAAAAACAAGTAGGAGTGCCTGGATAGCTCAGTTGGTTAAGCCTGGGACTCTTGATTTCAGCTCAGGTGGTGATCTCACAGGGTTCATGGAATTGAGCCCCTTGCTGGGCTCTGCTCTGACACCACAGAGCTTGCTTGGGATTCTCGCTCTCCCTCTCTCTCTCTGTCCTTTCCCTGCTCATTCTTTCTCTCTCTCTCTCAAAAATAAATAAGTAAACTTTAAAAAAAAATGATTGAAAACACATCAGAGCCATATATGAAATGTGCTCACCATGAGCCCTCATGTTTGTTTAAGTCACAAACTAAATTTCTTCATTTCACATTTCACTTAGGAACTAAAGCAAGACATTTCTAGTTTCCGCTTTGAAGTCCTGGGGTTACTAAGAGGAAGCAAGCTCTCAACCGTCCAGTCGGCTCAGGCCACAAAGGAGTCCTCCAACTCTGCGGACTCGGATGAAAAGAGTGACAACGAAGGCAGTAGCAAAGACAAGAAAAAGAACTTCAGCCTTTTCGATTTAACCACCCTGATTCACCCGCGATCGGCAGCGATTGCCTCCGAAAGACACAACATCAGCAATGGCTCCGCCCTAGTGGTGCAAGAGCCCCCAAGAGAGAAGCAGAGAAAAGTGAACTTTGTGACCGATATCAAAAACTTTGGGTTATTTCACAGACGGTCAAAACAAAACGCTGCTGAGCAAAATGCAAACCAAATCTTCTCTGTTTCAGAAGAAGTTGCTCGTCAGCAGGCCGAAAGACCACTGGAGAGGAATATTCAACTGGAATCCCGAGGGTTAGCTTCGCGGGGTGACTTGAACATCCCTGGCCTCAGTGAACAGTGTATCTTAGTAGACCATCGAGAAAGGAATACGGACACCCTGGGTTTACAGGTGGGCAAGAGAGTGTGTTCCTTCAAGTCGGAGAAGGTGGTGGTGGAGGACACTGTTCCAATAATACCAAAGGAGAAGCACGCAAAGGAAGAGGACTCCAGTATAGACTATGATGGAAACCTCACGGACACAGCCACCCACGAAGATTATGTGACCACAAGATTGTGATACTTGAAGGAGGGAGCGTTGATCATACATATACATATTTTCCATAGTGCCCTGGGTAGGGGGAGATGTTTAAAGTATATTAGCAAATGCTAACTTCCACCTCATAGCATTTATCAACTGTCGCATATTAACGTGTAACCTGTTTAAATAAGGCAAAGGCTATCAAAAACCCTGGTTTCATAGCCAGCTTTTGCTTTCACAATTTGTTTTACCTTTTTTTTTTTTTTTTTTTTTTTTTTTTGGTTAATAAATAAACGCACCTTGTATTCTTGTACTATTGCAATAATCCACAGGAAATTTTTAGCTCTCTTTTTCAACTAAAACAAATGCAACTTATTTCATGTGGTAGTTGACTCCTATAGTAGGTATTTTTATATGCAGAAAAACAATGCAGCTGAAATATTAGAGCTTTTCATAATTTGGGGGGATCTCTAGAGATGGTTACACATCAAGGACTTTTCGGGCAGCCCTACAATTTGGCTTTAAAACACAAATATTACCAAATTATTTCTGAACATGTAAATACAGCACAGATTAAAGCAAGCAAGCCTTCTTTTCATGGAGTCGTGATCAAACCCCCTCCTAAAATGAAAAGCAGGTGTACTTTGGAGTTCTAGGATGCCCACTTTTTCATTTCAGTAAGTAAAATAAATGTTTGTCTTAATAAATATTGGTGATTGATGATTTTTAATGAGACTTTGTCATGAAGAAAGTTTTATTTCAGGTTTTTTTAAATGACCTTTTTCAGGTTCAGTTGCTAGTCAGTATAAATATGAGGCTTTATGAATAATAGAATTTCAAAATGTGGCAAAACTTCTCAGTGCTAGAAAAGAATAACAATAAATTAGAGTAGGTAATGCTCCTTAAACAAAGCAAGATGTTACATTCTCATAGGATCCATAAATTCATTCTAAACTCTAAATCTAAGCAAAGTTAAATTCTATTTCAATTAGTGCAATATTATTGCCAATTCAAGAAAAATACGGAAACCTAATGGTTTCCTCTTCTTTCCTCCAGTGACTGGTACATATTTCTTTAAAATTAAGATTTCCGAAAATCATTATTAATTTTAGCAGTAGATATAGATATTAAGTTTTCCCCATAGGAACAACATTCTTAATTACTTGTTTCTTCTGTTGTTTTCAAAGTAATTTATCTTATATTCATTCACTGAACCACTAAAAAGAAAATGTTTTCACCTGATATGAAAAGGCACTGGCAACTTCTTAAAGTTTAAATTATGTAACTTGTGACTATATAAGCCACCATAGAAATAGAAGTTCCTTCACCACATGCAGTAAGCATTTATTTCAAATCAATAGAAAAACGATGAGTTCATTTTACTTCAGAAATTACCTCCACAGACTAGACAAATGGTACATAATTTAACATTGACCCAAAACTGCATACTATTACAAAACCCAGTGTCTGGGGGCGGCTGGGTGGCTAAGTCGGTTAAGCGTCCGACTTCGGCTCAGGTCATAATCTCGCGGTTTGTGAGTTCAAGCCCCGTGTCAGGCTCTGTGCTGACAGCTCGGAGCCTGGCACCTGTTTCAGATTCCTTATCTCCTCCTCTCTCTGCCCCTCCCCTCTGTTCATGCTCTGTCTCTCTGTTTCTCAGTAATAAATAAACATGAAAAAATTTTTGAAAAAACACCCCAGTTTCTGATTACCATACATCAAAAATAAGGAGTAACAGCAATAACAATGCCAGCCACCGTTCTATATGCAACACGTGTATTTACACATATGTACTACTTACAACAATGGTGTGAAGTAGCTACTGTTCTTAGCCCACTTTATATTTGAAGAAACTGAGACAAGCACTAACGAAGGTTCACAGTTAGTGATGGAGCTATGACGGGTCCTTCAGGGCCAAGCCTTTAACCACTACATGTACTGCCTCTCCGAACATAAACAGACCAAGCAAAAAATGTGCACCTATCGGGCTTACTATTGATTGCTGCTTCTGAAATGGTGCATTTTGAGAGAGAATGAGTGTGTAGTTTACTCCATAAATGTGTTCCTCTCGTAAAGTAAGAGGAATGCATATAATTAAAGATATATTGGATTCATTAGACTCAATTATATTATAGAAGTTAGTAAGTTTAAAAAAACATATTAGGTATGGGACATCAGAATTCAACCTGGAATATTAGATTTTAGTTTCCAAATAAGCCACAACCCGGAGGCACTGAGTTTACTGCTCTTTCTCAAATCTGGTTTTGTCCGAGAGATATAGGAATGGGCCTGGTAGGTTTGGAGAAGCACAAAAAGGCTAATGAATGTTCTCATTGCCTCAAGCACATTCATTTATGTTAGAACCAGTGTGTTAGAACTCACAATAAGCCCTGGGGATAGTGAAACACCCAAACTGCTCTAAGTCAGACAGACATATATTCTGTAGAGAAACATAGACCTGTTCTCAGTATTTGGAGTATGTTCCAATGATTCTGTTCTGTTTCTGTTGTTAATGTTGTTTCTTCCAAAGTAAAAATCGTATACATCACCATTATACATACTTTACCAGAATTTAATTTCAAATGTCCTCTGTTTCTTCAAATGACACCAACAACAATAAAAACAAAACGAAGCAAAATTTTCCCAGGAGTTTATTTATATCAAGGGTTAGGGTGCTGATGTTTTAAAGGTAAACATGGTGACAACAGAGGGACTTACTTGGAGCCAGTAACACCACACTTTGCAGTGTTCCAAAAATGATGGTTTTTAACAACCCTCTGTCAGATGTCACTGACAGATGATGCATCTATGAGTTTAAACAAAATATTGAATACTGTTAGTACAATATGTCCTAGAAGTGAACATTATTCTGAATATGCAGTGATGTTAGGTAGCATTAATGAAGATGAACAGTAGGGAAAGAATGAGAAAACATAAAACAGCAGGATTTCAAATAGAAGGATATTTTTTGAAGTCTCTAAATGAGTAATTTGGGGTTTTCTTTTCATTTCCATTCATATTTCTATGAACATAAACTCCTAAACACAAAAGAGAGGTTTCATATCATACCTTGTATAAATAATGTTTCTTATGTTTTGTGTCCTGTTGACCTTGCTATTAGTTGCTTACCTTCACTTATTTATTCATAGCCAGGGTTAAGTGGAAGGGTGTCTAGAAAATTCAGTTAACTCTAATAGAACTAGGTTATACTCACAGCACTTCACTTATCATGTATTTTGGAAAACCCATTTCCAAGAAAAAAATGCTATGAAGATGGACCTCTTTGTGATAGATGTTTTCCTGAAAATATCTGTGTTAATAAATCTGTATTAACTGCAGTAGGGAACTGGTTACGTAAAAAAAGAAAACATGGTAGTGAAATATTTTGTAAAATGATGAATTATTTTTCAAAGTGATAATCATGCTCTAAAATGTAACTGTTTCATAAGTTGGATATTTGTATATCAAATTTTCTTAAATTAGATATTTTATTTATTGGCTGGCAATTAAACTACTGCAAAAGCATACCCACTTTCTTGCCTTGACCTAGATAGCAACTTTAGTGATACGGACATACCTTAGTAATCGAACACACAAATCCTAACAAATACCTTGGGTAACTGTTAGGGTATAAAGAAAGAAACTTGCCATATTATTCTCCAAGAAGCAATCAATTTTCCAGCCAGTGTAGAAGGAATATGGGTAACCAGTGATATAAAGATGCACTCTTCTAATATTCACTAATCCTTACTAATTCTGGGATTTAGTTGAGCGAATGATTGTCCAGTTCCGTGACTTTTGCCCATTCTTAGTTTTTGTACATGTGTTTGCAGAACAATTTATACAGTTCAGACTGTATCCCTAAAAATCAACTGAGCAAAAACCATCCATGTGTCTCTGTCAATAGGTTTACAATGACTCAAATTTTTAAAAAGCCAAATTTATGAATATATTTCACCATTTTGAAAATTATTTATTCTGTTTAACTTATTACATTTTTTTCCTTGCCTTATATTTTCCAAAGTTCAGACCTCCCAGTAATTTACATTTAAAAGTTAATCTCTGGAACTCTCTTTAAATTCAACTTCAAATATCTTATCTTAATTATTTCACAATAAATTACAATGAACTTTGTTTATATAGTGTTATCGCATGACTTTTTAAAAAATGGAACATTATTAAATAAGTTCTCCATAGGTCACTGGAAAAACAAAGGTTAAGGGCACTTAAGGGTTTATGGCAGTTATTCAGATTTACCCTGCTATTAAGTGGTCGAGTTGGAGCTTAAAGAAAAACTCTTCATCTAGATATTCAGATGAGATATCAGGTTCTAAATGTTTTGGGTAATGAATCTTTATTTTTGTGGAATTTTTTCTTCTTTGCCCTCTCCTTCAGTAGAAAATTTTTGTAGTTGTTCAAATTTTCCACAGCCAAAATTTGGAATATATTACTCTTTTCTCCCAACAAAATTTTGTTTACGGATTAAAAAAAAACAAAACTGGTTTCTTACCATTTTCTAAAAAATACACTTTGCCATTTTCACTTCTACTGTAGATTTTGTGATAATGCTATATACACATTAGCAACAATAAAATGTATAAAATAAAATTAAACCTTCCCAACTGAAAAATGATAGAGCTGGAAAATATGAAGGTGACCCAAGATTGAGATCATGAGACCAGGGCCAAATATGGTCATGCTCCCAGTGAGTTGACAAAGAGTGACGTTGTCTCTGCCAGTGAAATTTACCAGGAGCAAAACCATCAGTTTCCTCTAGAGCTGCACTGTCCAATATGGTAGCTACTATTGATGTAAGGCGACTAAGCACCTGAAATGGGTCTATGAGTATAAAATACACACTGGATTTCAAAGACTTAATATGAGAACAATGTAAAATATCTCATTAATATTTACATTGGTTATGTGTTGAAATGATAGTATTTTGGATGCATTGGGATAAAATATATGAACGAAAATAGTTTCATGCTTTTTACTTTTTAATGTAGCTACTAGAAAGTATTAAAAATACATCTGTGACT